AAATTCCCTTTGCCTTCTCGAAATTCCCTTTTTGCGAAAATCACTAAAGCCCATATTTATTCAAAGTTTGATCTTAAAGCCGGATTTTGGCAATTGGGCATTCATCCTGATGACAGACTAAAAACAGGATTCTATATCCCAAACCAACATTTCCAATGGAGAGTTCTTCCATTTGGTCTCAAGGTTGCGCCTTCCTTATTCCAATAGGCTATGTGTCGCATATTCCAGCCAATTTTGTCCAATGCTGCTGGCTATATTGATGACATATTACTCTATAGTCTAGACGAAGAATCTCACTGTTGACTTCTTGAGCAATTTGCAGAAATTGTGAAAAAATATGGCATCATATTTTCCCAGAAAAAGATGACCATTGCCCAAATAGAAATTGAATTCCTAGGCATGCACCTTAACATAGGCACATATTATCCAGGGCCGCATATCGCCAAGGAATTACTAAAATTTCTTGAAAAGGATTTTACAACCCAGCAAGTTCAACAATTTCTCGGGATAATCAATTATCTTAGAGATTTTGTCCCAAACATTGCAAGGTTGTTAAGTCCTTTGCAATTGATGTTAAAAAAGCATCCAGTACCATGGGGAAAGGCACAAACCAGATCAGTTGCGGAACTCAAAGAAATTATGCAAGATCTTCCCCCTCTGCAAATCCCATCTACAGGAAAGAGAATTTTGCAAACTGATGCTAGTTGATAAGTATTGGGCGGCCGTATTGTTCGAAGAACTTCATGGTAAGCGACATCTTTGCGCTTACAAAAGTGGCAAGTTTTCTTAGGCAGAAATGCCTTATCACTCTACCTTCAAGGAAATTTTGGCAGTAAAGAATGGAATGAAAAAGTTCAAATGCCATCTTATTGGCCACCATTTTCTGGTAGAACTGGATATGACTTCTTTTCCCAATATGACCAAATTCAAACAGAAGCAAATTTCTCATCCTCAACTACTCAGATGGGCTAAGTGGTTTTCGAAATACTCCTTTGAAACCAAAGATATTGCAGGAAAAAAGAATGTACTTGCAGATTTTCTCTCCGGACCAAAAGCATCAGCAGAAATCAACATGTATATTCTCAGGCATTCCTTCCCATTTCAGCCAGACAAGTACAAAATTGAAAGATTTCGAGAATGACCAAGCTTGGAATACCCTCAAGAAATAGTTGAGCAAATTCAAAAGGATAAACTCACTGAAAATTTTGACAATCTCATGTGACAATGTCACACTGACCTTTTCAGACTATATGGAGGCTCTATTCTTAGCCCTTTTGGATTACACTCGAGGTGCCCTTTCATTCACCCATTAATTTGAAAAGAAAATAATTTTCTTGAAAAACTTAAATGGCTATTATGGTACCTAACCAGTAAGTACTTAATAGCTATTGAGTTTCCCACCAGAAAATTTCTTTTCAACTTAACCAGATTGATTATGGCTGATCACATTAAGTTAAATGAACACGAGAAAAACCTTTTATCCATGCTCAAATGGTTTTACCCTCTTGTTTACTGGAAACGACTCTTTCTAGAAGAGTTAAAAAAAAGTCCGAGATAATCCAGAAACACACACTATTGTACTCCTCCATCGTCCATGAACTTTTGTGTACAATGATGGTACCATCTCCGATACTCCTACAGCAGTAGGCAAGCCCCAGTCACAACTCCATGTTGCACGTGTCTATAATTCATTCCCTAGTCGTATTGGCTCTGTTGAATATAATTATAGGGAACTTTAGAGGTTCTTAAGCCAAGAAAATCGTATTGTCCCAAAAGAAGCATGGGATTACACCACACCTGTTTCATGGGATCACAAAGGATCTTCATCTGTAATGAGACAAGCACTCTAAGAATATGATCAAGCACAAGTACAGCTCGGACCATCACAAGATCAAGAAATATCAAACACAGGAGATCCGGCACAATCATCTCAGGACCCATGAGGTGGACCACTCTCTCAAGATCCCTATGATTATGGACCATTGTCCTTATCCGTCGGACTTGACACCAATACAAGCTTCTCTTACGCTCAAATAGGAAATTGGCCCCAACCAGTCATGCCTGAAAGAACCAGTCAAAACTTATCTCTTCCAGACTTTTCTACATATGCATCCTCTTCCTCGAACCAAATGCCAGCCATTACTGAAGACAATTTTGAACAAATTCTAGTACAGAGACAAATAGCAGAATATGAATGTGTAAACAGCTCAGACAACTCGGATTATGATTATAACTCTGGATGGAGATAAACTGATACTGTTTCACCTAACCGGCACTGTTCATTGTAACATATAATAGTCGGGTACTGTTTTCACCTAATCCTATGAGTATGTTTTAGATGTCCTATGAGTGTGTTTTAGGTGTATTTTGGACAGATGTCCAATAATGTACTCATTTTTAGGTGTGTTTTGTTTTATATAGACAGACGTCCAATAATGTACTCAGTTTTAGGTGTGTTTTGTTTTATCTCGACCATCGTCCAACAACGTGCTCCGCAGCGCCTAAATAAGGCCATGCAATCCTTCAGTTTGGAATAAGAGAAAAAGTTGTAAGATTTCAGAGTTCTTACTTTCCATGTCTCTCTAAAAATCCTTTTCTTCAAAGCTTGGCATGATCCTCTAAGAAATGCAGCTCGGCCAGTTAAGCATAATATCATGCCTCTTAAGGAATCTATGATGAGAGCCAGGGAAAACAAGGTCAGTTTGCAACAAATATGCTATCCTGCACTAGCGAATTTCTTGTTCAAGCCCTTCAGGGACTACCTTTTAGCTGCAAAATTACCCAGAGATTTAGCTCCTTGATATAAATCCAATTTAATGGAGGATAAATTTGTCACAAGTGTATCGGTTTGGAGTTTTTGATAGTCAAGAAATTAGTTTGGCGTAAATTTATCACGGGTGCACCAGTTTAGAGTTTTTCGTGGTCAAAAACTTACTTCATGGTAAATTTATTACAGATGTATTAATTTAGGGTTTTTCATAATATTAACCCATATTATTATCATATAAAATTATTTTGAAAAACCAAATGTAGAAAGGGATAATGTTTCGAAATGTTCTCGTAACGTATTTTTGGAAATTGAATATTTCTTCGTCCATCACGTTTAACCAATGCCCTTGTAGCACTCATTGAAAAGACTCGTTTAATCCTGCAGATGCACACAAGACCGACATATTCACGTGTACCGAACAAATCTCCTCCGACGAGAAGATGCTAATCCTAAAAGTTTATGGGTTAATACCATGAAAAATCCCAAACTAGTACACCTGTGACAATTTTACCCCGAACTATTTTTTTTACTATAAAAAACCCCACACGGGTACACTTGTGATAATTTTACCCCGAACTAATTTTTTGACCACCAAAAACCCTAAACTGGTACACCTGTGACAATTTTACCCCAAACTAATTTTTTGACCACTAAAAACCCCAAACTGATATATTTTTGACAAATTTACCCTCCGTTAGTATCCGTTAAATTGGATTAATATTACGAAAAATCACAAATTAGTAAACTTGTGGCAAATAGAGGGGTAAAACCCTAAACTGGTACACCTGTTAACTACCACGTGTCATTAAATTTAGCAATTTGACAGTAAAATTTAACGAAAACTAACGGAGGGTAAATTTGTCATAGGTGTACCAGTTTGGGGTTTTTGGTGATCAAAAAATTAGTTTGGGGTAAAATTATCACATGTGTACCAGTGTGAGGTTTTTAGTGGTCAAAAAAATAGTTTGGAGTAAAATTATCATATATGTACCAGTTTTGAATTTTTTGTGATCAAAAAAATAGTTCAAAATAAAATTATCACAGATGTATCAGTTTAGAGTTTTTCGTGATATTAACTCAAAGTTTATCCAAGTGGCCAGAGACTTGTCACATCCCACATTGGATTCAAGTCCTTAACCCAGCTGATTTCTCGAGTTTGTTGCCTGCACTTAGGATGATTATAAAAGGGGGTTTTTTCCCCTTGATACAAGAAAATCCGTGTCAATTTATATCAATTTCGAGTTAATTATTTTATGTTTACATTCAAATTTCTCATAATAAATTTATATATTTCTAGGCATGACCATTTCTACCAAGAACAAACTAGGAACCTCATAATCACTTTTCTCCAAATCTTCAGTACTAAAAGCTTTTGTACCAAGTAGCCCACTAGGCCAATAGGCATGCGGTCCTGCTAGTAAAGGGATTAGAGCAAAATGTTAATCATCAACTTGTTTTAGTCAATAACACATTGGTAAGTCACCAATAATTTTACGAAAGTATCAATAGTTGTTTCCCAATACTCACTGACTTGCTTACCAATGTGTTAGCATTTGGCAAAATTATACCAACCTTTCGAGTTAAGTTACTAACTGCTTTTAGCCTTACTAACTCTTATTTAAGTAAGTTCACAAAACTTACTTGAATGTTTCGAAATTACCAATGGTTATAATACACAATTTACCGAAATTTTTTTGTGGAGCTTACTGACATGTTAAGTTTGCTAAATGTTATGCGAAATTACCGACTCTTATTTGAGTTAATATGCCAACGGTTTTTTGATTGTTTGAAATTACCAACCGTTCCAATACTATAACCAACATTTATTTACAAAGGTTACCAATATGTTAAGTTTACTTACCCTTGTAGGAAATTACCAACTTTTATTTGAATCACTACCAATGTTTGTTTTTTTTTTTTTCGAAATTGCCAACCGTTCCACTAATTATCTACATTTATTTGCTCAGCTTACAAACTTGTTCAAGTTACTAACTCTTTTAGGAAATTTCTTATTGTGTACGAGTCCACTTACCTTTAGAATATTTTAGAAATCACCAACTGTTCCTACTTTTTTACCAACATTTATTTGTCGAAGCTATCAACGTGTTAAAGTTACCAACTCTTATACGAAATTGCCAATTATTTTTAAAATTACTAGCTACTCCAATAATCTATCAGCATTTGTCAATAGAGTTTAATTTACCAACTCTTGCACCAAACCGCCAACTGATATTTGAATTACTTACCGACTTTTATTTGACCGTTCCAAAACTACCAACTTTTCCTATACTTCACTAACATTTATGACAACTTACCAACCGGAAAAAAAAAAAGTTACTAACTTCTATCCAAAATTACCAACTCTCGTTCGACATGGTAACAGAAAATGCTATAGTCTTTTACGGACTCATTCTTCAGTTCGAGGTCTCAAACTAATACAACTCATCTGCCCATAGTAATGTGTCCCTAGTACTCACAACATTGCTGATGATGAAGACGGTTAGGACAGTGAAATGAACGCTTCTCGCCGCGCTTTCAAGAACAAAAATTTTAAAAGTATCCTCCCAAGGTGATCACAACCTGAATACTCGGACTAAGTTTCGCCCTCTTCTTCTGCAATGCGTAGCAGACAATAAATGGGCGTCGTTAGTTTGCTGTGTGTTTATCCCAAGCAAGAGGAAGGATAAGTTTTAGACATTCTCTCCTCCCTAGTATGAGTCCTTGTAGTCTTGTGCCTTCATCTGGGGTTCCCATCTTTGCGAACCTTACTGCTACACTGCATCTCATTCGTATCCTTCTGTCTAACTTTGGAATACAGCGTTCGATACCTATGTTTGCAATTGTCCTAAGCCACCCTGGATTGTCCAGATGTACTCGGTAACGAAACTAAAATAGAAAACGGAAAAAGTTCAGGTGCTGTTACTGAACATCAGAAAATCAAAAGCCGGAGTAAGTGATCTGTTGTCTAGCTCTCAAACCTAACAGAAAGAAGGGAATGACAAAGATACTGAAGTTTCAGCTGAAATTCCACACAAGACTGATAAATTTTGCAGAAGCGTGGACTCTCTGTACTTGTATAACGTTAGCAGACGAGATCACCTTTAAGAGGCATCAGATTAGGAAAATAGAGAAAGAAGAAAACTATTATCAAGTGATTTCGATTTGAGAACTCGATTTCCACATACCTGTAATTACTAAGTTTACTGGATGAGTAAATAATCGGCATCGCCGGGCAACATGTCTCCAGCTGTGGGTGTCAAGTTACTTCGAGAAAGCGGTTTACGAACTTGAGCATGTGTTTCCGCCTCGTGCTGGAACATCTTTACCAGCTCTTGCAACTCCAACTTCCTGACTTCAACTTGCTTGTCGGTCACTGGTGCTTTCAACCCGAGGTAAAGCAAGCCAACTACAATCAACACGATCCCCAAAAAGACGAGAAGAGCTGAAAACAGACCAAATGCATATGGTGTGTTGCTTCCTCCAGGGATCCCATCGACATTAATACCAAAAAGGCCGGTTATGATCGTAAGAACAACCCCGCAGCCTCCAAAAACAGTCAAATTATGAGTTATTTTAAGGCTTCTATCCTGAATGAGAGTTCCCAGATTAAGTGAGAAACTTTTAAACCAGAATGAAAAGAAGGTAATACTATACCATGACAATAGCAATTCTCACCTGCAACCATGCACGGACAGTGCTCTGCATTACATCTTGAATGGTGAACAAGCGACCACGGACAGCTTCTTGCTCGTCGATCATTTGCCGGGTGCTCTTGTTAATTCCCTCCAACAAAATTCTAGTCGTATTACCCTTTAAATGTTGGAGCAGCTCAAACATGATCTCTTCTCTTGCATGAAGTGACCATTTCACTCTTATGACCTGCAACAGATGGTCTGACTCTCACAATGCCACTCATACAAAATTTGTGGGCTCAACTGCTGGAACAACTAATTACAGCTATAGTAATATGGTTAAACTGATATTATCATTCTAAACGTAGAACTTCAAGGTCTTGCATTCTTTTGGCCAAAAAGAAGTCTTGCATTCTTAACTCTACGACTTCCAAAACACATGCAGAGGACAGATGAGGTGAGTCCAACAAGCATGACATTAGTGATGCTAAATAGGACTGGCAATTTTCACACGTCACTAGGAGCTAACCAGTGATGATATAATGACATGTTTCAGCGGAGAGAATTATCTCATTCCTGTTGAAAAGGTGAAAAATCCAAAACAAGAAAGGGCAATTTACCTGTCTGGACAACCTTCTGATTTCTTGGTTTAGAATTATAGTAAAAAGATTCAAGTCCTCATGGTTTCTCCTATACATCAAAGAAAATTAACAGTCACTCATGTGAACTGGACGAAGGTAAAACATTACACAAAAGAAATCTATAATCGTCTAACCTGTTCATAAACTTAAGTTCAACCTCATCAGCTTCCCCAAAAATTGACTTCCGGAATAACCTAGCAGAAGTTAGAGATGAGAATAGTAAAAAAGAAAAACAAGGGAATAAAGCCAACAAATTACAAAGTTAAAAATGATGTCAAGGAAAACTACATTTGACATTGTACACAGAGGATAAACAATTCTAGGCAAGACAATTTGCCAAGGAGAAGCAAGCAGCATCTGTTCAGACAAGTTTGACAGAATTAGTAGTTTTAGTCCTCTTGAAATTAATAAAAGGCAATGAAGTGGAAGAATAATGGCAGTATAGTCCGTAAAGTCACGTTTCATCAGTGAAATTGAATGCAGTTCCTTGAAGAATGCACTTGACTGAAAGATTACCATGGAAATGCACTATAAAGACAGATGAGAAAATACATCTAAATTGTAGTTCATATTCAGAAATACACAACAGCAGGCGGAGGATGTGCCCGAGGAAGGAAATCCACAGATTGCTGACCAATAGATGGAAAAAGAACAGTCAAATAGAGAACTATCTATAAATTTTGTATGGATCATGCGGCAGTAGTGCATTGGTCAAGGCCCACTTAGTTCAAGAGTCCATTTTTAAGTTTAGGTAGAAGGATCAGAACACAAAAGAGTGTCAACATTCTAAGGCATGCAGCATTGCTCGCGATGAGACTTCAACCCACGTCAACTGTAACAATCCCCACCGTCACATCATGTATAAGACTTTTCTCTTGCACTGTTTATGATTGTTATTGCGGAATTTGCATAAATCATGTAGCTTGCTTTAGGACAAAGCAAGGCTAATGCAAATGGTCAAGAGCATCTAGCCTTGAGCAGGCAGAGCACCATATATATGTTGGCCTAGACATTCCCCAGTCTACATCAATAGCAATCGATAAAACATACCAAAATTGACTTGCAAATTACAAACATCTAATGCTGATAATTATATGTTCTATTAACCGATAGATGGTGTAGCAACCATACAAAAGAACTCTCTGCATCAGATTTGTGTATTGATAGCACTGTTACCTGTCATCCCATCGAGAAAGGCGGCAAGCTAAATGTGCTATGACTTCATGCACTGTTCTTGGGACATTATAACCACCAGCAAGAAGAAGCTCCTGAAATCGCACCAAAATAAGAGCAGAAAATCAACATGAAATGCCATGATATAGGTCTCAGGGAAGTGTTCTGTTAACTACGAACTACCTGAACCTCAGTTATGCCCAGCACGTTCATGGTTTTCACGGGCCCCTTTATGTGTAGTACAGTTATCAGGAAGTTCTGTGCTTGCCAAGACCGTAGCACAATCGGGGTGTCATCCTCATTGACAAATGGATCACCAGCTGATTGTCCAAGGAGCTCAAATAACAGTCCTCCAGCTACTCTAACTGGGACCTGGAAAAAGAGAGCGTGACAAAAGATTTTTAACCCCCTCAATCTCCATGAAACATACAAAAATAGGATTACCCACGATTTTTATCCTCAGACTAGTGTAACAACAAAACATATGGAGCACATGCCTATACATTTGGACCACCGACATTTTTGTGCAAAACAACTGAAACCTTTCTGTTGCTTCAGAGTTTAATGGGTAAAAACTGGAACTATTGCGTCGCAGAAAGATGATAAAATGAAGTCAACGATGCTGGCTTGGCTGGAACCATGTAAAATTAGAATTCACAAAAAGAAAATTCCCTTGAGACATTAGGCATGCTCAGAGGGTTTTGATGCAGAAGTACATGAGTGTAAAGAACTTCGTCTCAAAGTCAGAGTCACATGCATCACCTCCGATGTAAATTTGATGTGCTGGAATCATTATCAACTACAGTAGATTGTATAAAGCCCTGAAGTTTTTCACCTAAATTGGAGGGCGAAAATAAAGTAATAATTAATTCCTGCAAACGGTGGTATGAATAACAAAGAATTCATGGTTGTTATAGAAGGAAATGCTTCCAAGTTTGCAGAAAGTAAATCCAAAATGAAGCTAAACCAAATATAATCTGGGAAGACAATTTCAAAAAGGAACAACTCTAACCGTGAGAGTAGACTATATCAAGAACAAGAGAAATTAACCCGGTATTAACATTAATCTAGACTTAAGAGTAGTAGAAATGCATTCACTTGATTTTATCGGTGGGTGGGACGGGTATCAGGATCAAGGGACAAGTGGCGATGTTGTCTGAGTAGAAAAGACAAAGTAAACATAACATGAAAGGCAGGAAGGCTTATTTCTATGGCATTGTAATAGATGAAGAAGTCATCTTCATGGGACCTTGCTGTGACCCTAACACAAATTTAATTTGGTCCTTCACAATTTGCACCTAAACAGCATATGTGAGCACACAAGAACAAGGAAATGCAGATTTATAATGCTTCTACCAGTAGCAGTAAACACCCAAGCTAGGCCCCAACAACAAATTTACCTCATAAAGAAGATGTTTCATGCGCTCGCTTATGAGCCGACCTTCATCCCGTAGAGCCAAACTGACGGCCGGATGCAACCACTGAGCATTACTGAGCCATGCTTCCACAGCGGGATGACCTGCCGAGAAATGACACCACCATACCGGCCCCGCGGGCCTCTCCCAGTAAGGAGCTGCCATATCCGCGGCCGTCAGGTCCTCACTGTCATCCATTAATTCTAGCTGCATCCCCCAACCGGCATCTACTTGCACGGTTTGGGCGAGAGCCGAGATCCTTTCCCACCCAATTGGTACCCAGTGACTACCCTCCAACCTATCAACACTGCGAAACTGGCCTAGCTCATGAACTGGGCTCTCGCCATAATCATCACCACCAGCAACCTCAGCGTCACATTTTCTACTCACTGCTTGAGGAAATGCCTCAACCACACCACCATTCGTACCGGCCCGCGCCTTCGAGTGATCGACTTTGGTCGCCGCCCTGCTCGGCAATTTCGAGCCGGACTTGGAAAAATCACCCGATCTTTTACGCCCCCTAACAAATTCAAAAGCACAGATGAGCCCATCCTTCCAGAGATCACTCCCGGGAGCGGTGTCCCTACCAGAAAACCCTCCGCGACTGTCGGGTCTCTTCGCTTTATCGCCGCGAGAAACCGACTGGTCATCGGCCGAATCGCCGCCCCTCCTCTGTTCCATCGGCACTGACAACGACAGCTACTTCAGCGGCGCAATCAATCACAACATCCGAACCAACGCCGAAGCTAATTCCCAAAACGAACACCCAACTAAGCAAAGATCAACAACGCAGCTCGATAGCTTCGAAGCTACGCAAAATGTCGACCCAGTTGCCCCGAAAGGACAGCACCAGCAGGGTAAAGTCCAAAAACGACGCTTTATTCGACGCCCACGAGAAGAACGACCGCAAAGAATCCGCACTGTGCGGATGGAAGGTTTTCTTCAAAGACAAGAGGGAGCTCAGCGAACGGATGACGACGTTTGGCGACGATTTTACAGTTGCCAGTGAGTGGATGTGGAGGGAACAGCGACACTGTCATCTCTCCCTATCAAGTACAGTCCGCGCTAGCAGACAAAAGAATCGTTCGTTAGCTTCGCCCTTGAGGGCATGGAACATAGGCGTGCGTCACGTTCGAGGATCTATCCCTTGTCTTCGACGAGAAACTCCCGCGTGGTTCTGGATTAGAGGTGGCCCAACTGTCGTGTCGGCCCGGGGTCTTGATCGGGTCGGGTCTGGATCGGGTCGGTCCATGGCCTTAACGAGCCCGTCCAAGCCTGACAATTTTAATCGTTCTCTAAGGGCGCGATGATAATTATTCTATTTTTGTCCAGAACTAATTTTCTATTTCCAAAAATAGATTTGGAACAGAAACCCGTTTGATAACGCAATTCTATTTTTCTATTACCGGAATAACTTTTTGTTCCACAACTTGTTCCGGACCAAAAATCAGAATAAAAAAAAAGTAGGTTTTCTGTTTTTGGACGAGAAATGAAAACCATTTCCAAAAGAACCTATCTTCTCTCTTCAAAACACATCTCTTCCTAAATTTAGCCCCGGTCTGACCTGATCAGACCGATTCGAACTGGTTTGGTCCGACTCATTCCCTGAGAGAAAATAAAAAAAATTCTAAAAAAAAATTAGAAAAATCATAAAAATTAGAAAATTCTAAAAAATCAGAAACAATTCAAAAAATTCATTAAAAAAATTAGAAAATCCGGAAAATTTCTAAAAAACTCAAAAAAATTTCATAAAATCCTTAAAAATTGAAAAATTCCAGAAAAATTCATAGAAATTTCCAGAAAATAAAAAGAGTCAGATTTCGGGAAAATAGGAAATTCGGTGAATTTTTTCAAAAAAAAATCAAAAAATAAAAAATTTCAAAACTTCACAGAATGGCTTAGAATACTTGTGGCCACCCATTTTGAGTAAAATTTAAATTTTTTGAGGTGCCCAAATGGTATTTTTGAAGACTCCTTAGTTTAGGGATTTAAAAGAGGTTTTAACCCCTAAAAAAACCCTAAAATGGGTTTAACCCCCAACATGGGTTCTAAAAAAATGGATTTTTGTTCCGGAAAATAGAAATTTGTGTTGTTATCAAACGGGTTTCTGTTCCAGAAAATAGAAATTTTATGCTGTTATCAAACGGGTTTCTATTTCATAAATAGAAATTTTTTTTCGTTATCAAACGGGTTTCTTTTCTCAGAAACTCGTCCTGGGAACAGAAATAGAAAAATGTATTTCTATTCCAGGAATTGTTTCTAGAACAGAATGGTTATCATTCTCACCCTAAATATCGGAACAAGGAACAAAAATAACAACCGTTTCCGATTATCACAGCCCATGTCACTTGGCAAAACACGTTCAAATGGTTTGGTGAGTTTAGCGATAACAACTACGTATGTCAGCTCCACCTCGATGATAAACCGAATTGAACGATGATGAGACTTGACAACCCCACAAGTGGGAAGAATTGCAGGGGCGAACGCCACAAGCTAGTACCTTAGAGAAAACCCGCAAGCAATTGTAGCGACGGCTAAGCGAAGAAGAACATTTGCCATATGGAGGACATTCCGGCTCGAGATCGATGACAATGGTGTGAGGAAGGCCGTTTGCACGGTATGTAGCCACCAATTATCCTGTGAACCATCAAGTGGGACGAGCCACTTGAGAAGTCACCAAGCAAGACATGATGCAGAGATATATAGGGCCCAAGGGAGCAATTTAAGTGCAATGTCGCATACCAGAAGGCCGTTTAAGTACTACGAGGCGAGGAATTAGCGGGAGCTTGCATTTTATTACCTTACCGTCGAGCAGACCTTTGGCTTTGCCAAAAATTCCCAGTTCGCTCATTACGTGCATACAGCTCGACAACCTCAATTTAGGCCCGTTCCACATACAACGAACACTAGAAACTGCAAGTCGCTGTACAAAGAGAAAAGGCAACGTCGGTGCATCTATTGTCGATGGGCAACTTTCGAGTCTCTTTAAATTTTGATTTATGGATCGGTCTTGCGAATTTATTTGTACTTTGTCATCATTGTCTATTGAGTCAAAGAGAAATGGGAATTCCGCCTCCAACCTCTTATGAATGCCGAAATGGGGCTGCCGAAATAATGACGTCTATCAATGAGTTTGGTATCTTTGATAAAATCTTCGGCATTTGTGTTAGATAATACTATTATGAATACCTTACTTAAGTCCCATTTGGTTCGGTATTTGGAATGCTCATTTGGGCTCTAAAGTCCCTTGGTCAAATGCAAATGGTGTTTGGCAACTTTTTTTACTCACTTTGGGGAAATGTAATTGCATTTGGAATGCTCTCCAAGGGACTTTTAGCCAATGCAAGGGTGGAGGTGCTTTTGAGAAGTTGTATTTTCGGAATGCAACTTGTACTGTTCATCGTCACTATTCATCTTCTCCAAACCGAGGTCCGGCGACCGCCGACCGCCGCCTGAGGGCTAGCTCGACCCAGGCGACCACTGTCTGGGGGTTGCGTGACCCCGACGATCGCCCGAGGTCCGACGACCCCAGGCGGCAGTCGTCGGCAACCAGATCTGGCCGATAATTTAGCTTCACCGGAGCTTTTTTTTTATTTATAAATATTAACAAAAGTCATTTAGCCTTATTCGAAGTATGGTCCAACAATAAAATCCCATTTTAAATGGGATTCCATGTGCAATGTGTGTCACACTGGATTAACTTGTGCGTGCAAGCGATCTCTATCACTTTTACTATTCCGTCCCATCATAAGTGGGTGGGATTCAACACGTAAGATTCTCCCCCATTCAAGCATCAAGAGTTGGGGATCCTCTACACGACGCAAGAAGGGAAAGTTGAGGATTTCCCTCTGCTCTGCATTGCAGTTTCTTTTCGTTGCCTGGAAATGGCTAAGGCGAGGCTAGCCCTCGCTTGATTTGGGCCTTGCCTCAGGGCAAGGCAACCCTCAAATGCCCGGAGGTGAGAGTGGCTCTCGCAATTTGATACTTTCGTCAGCAGTCGTGTTATCAAAATCGAGTAATTTGACAAAAAATTACTAACGAAAATTAAAACGGGTAAAATTGTCACGTTTGTACCTTGTTTGTTGGGAGTTTTTTGTAATTAAAAAAATTAATTTAGGAATAAATTTATTACAGATGTATTAGTTCGAAGTTTCTCGTGATATTAATAAAAAAAATCAAAAGATTCAATTGCCAAAAGAAAATAAGAAACAACTTAAATTTTAGGGAAAATTCCAATTGGCCTCGCCTGAAGTGGCTGCAGCTCTTGTTGGTCTTGCCTAGGGCAAGGCAACCCTCAAAAGCCCAGGGGTGAGAGTGGCTCCCTCGCCCAGGGCGACCCTGCGATTTAATCTTCGTCAGGCGTCACGTGTTATCAAAAATCGCAATTTGTGATAAAATTTAACGAAAATTAAAACGGGTAAAATTGTCACGTTGTACTTTGTCACTATTTAAGGGTTTTTGTAATTAAAAAATTAATTTGGAATAAATTTATTACGAATGTACTAGTTCGAAGTTTCTCGTGATATTAATAAAAAAAAAATCAAAAGATTCAATTGCCAAAAGAAAATAAGAAACAACTTAAATTTTATGCCAGAAAATATAAAAAAGAAGAGAGAGAGAGAGAAAATAGGAAGAAGTTTTCGTTCCGCCATTCCGGTGAGGGCGGTTCGTCAGTCTCCGGCTACAGACGACGGCGGCGCGAGCTCTCTCGTCCGATGGAGGCGGAGGCTCCACCAGCTTCTGCTCCTCCCATGGCGGCTCACACGTTCGACGGTACGCGCTCTCTCTCTGTCGCTCAGAGTTCGCGCGCAGTCGTCTCTTCCGCGAACTCTTTGAGCGCGATCGATTGCACTGTGCTCGCCGTCGCAAAGCGATCGGAGCCGAAACTCGACGATTTTCGCCTGAAGCAAAGCTTGCGCGACGCGGTTGCGGTTGTGGCCCTTTCTTTTGTGGCGAGTTCGTGATGGTTAACTGCTTTCTCGGCCGGTTCGAGCGTTAGGCTTATGCTGCTGCTGCTCCTCTTTTGCTTTTGCTGTTTCCCCTCTTCAGATGGTTTCGATGAGGTCCAGCTTCGCGGTCTCGTGGCGAGCAGCGCGTTGGGCTTCGACGACTGGACGTCTCTGATTTCTGCCGTGGAGGACGCATATCCTGTGAGTCTAGTTCAACTTCTGTGGACGTTGCATTTTGATGTGCTTGAACTGAACACCGCCCGCGGCGATGACAATTAATGTCGCGGATTGGAGTGTGTGTTTCCCTTGGATTTGGTTGATCCTAGGTCCAGAGCTTATATGTTTGAGGATGTCATCTTTCCTAATATGACGGGGTTTCGAAATTCCTAAAGTTCAGACAGTCGGGTCGATATGCAAATGTGCTCCTATTATTTATTCGCCATTGTGTTTGTGAAAGTCTATATTTGAAAGCAGCATTGTATTGGCTTTTAGAGCATCTTGCATTCTAACCACTTGATAGATTTTTTTGCTTGAGTAAAATTCGGGTGATACATGCCTCACCTATGATTGGCCGGAGTTTAGATAACCCTATATAATCAATGATAATTTGAACTCTGATGGCATTGAAGGCCGGCTAATAGGCTTAAGATGAGCCTAGGCCGGGATTTTCTTGTAAGGGATTTCGCAATGCCAATGCACTGAAATTCCATGTCATTTACATGACCTCACGTACAAGAGGTTTCGTTTTTTTTGTAATGTAGATAAAGAAGACGGGTGTACTTTACGAAAAGTATAGTAGGATGGCATATGCCTTAAATTATATTAACAAAAATGTCTAAAATAGAAATAGTGGTCACTCTTAGAGTTCTCAAAGTTTCTCATGTCAATGTCCTTACATTGGCAATCTTTAATGAAATAAGGAAGCTTTGGTGATTCTGGAGATACTTCTTCAAATATGTTAACCTCAGCTTCTTTTATTAATTGTCGGTAGCTGGTACACACAGTTGATTCACCAAAATTTATATTGAGGAGTTATTTGATGTTAGAAATCAGCTTATTCTCAGATAGGAAGTTACTGTTAGCAACTCCATCCTAATCTAACCATTTGAAAAAGTGAATGACCTGGCAGTTGAAAATCATTGAAGTGCAAATATCAGGGCAACTCCAGACAAATAAGCATTTGAGCGTATCTTTCCAAAT